AGAAAGCAGGATAAATTGCATGGAAGGGATCAGAGAAAACGTGATGTTGCCAAGGGACCTGGGCCTTCTAGGATGAGAAAAATTTTGAAAAGTGAAGAAAGTTGAGACTGGAGGCCTAGTGAGAGAGCAAATGGGGTAAGGCAATGAAGTCACACGGAGTCACACAAGGTTGCTCCACGTCCAGAAGAAAGTCTGTGGGATGTGTAGCCCAGCAGGGAGCCTGGAGAATGTACTGGAAAGGGAAAGCAGACCAGATGTTCAAGGGCTTTCTAGAACATTTCATAGAAATGTGACAGCGTTTTGTAGAGAACAGGTCGTGCTGTAGATTTCTGAGATGTGACACCATTTTATCTCAGTGAGCTAAAAGGCATTGCACACCTGTTGACTGAAGAAATAATTGGTCCCACAACCCGTAGCAAGCCTGCATAGATGGGGCAGATGGCACAGTCTGGGGCAGGGGTGTGTGTAGATGGGGACCCAGGTGAGGACAGAGGGGGACTGAGGCAGCTGATGCAGGGGTGAGGGGAGCACTGGGTGTGAGATGAGAAGTCTGGGGGGAGGAAATCCTTGAAGGTTGTAGCAAGTAGGTGAAAGGACCTCATCACCGCCTTAGGCCAAGGCAGTGTGCACCAAGGAAGCTCCAAAGGTGCAAAGGAAGTTGGCAGGATTTCCTTTTTAACCAACGAAATATTTCATTTTGCTGCCATATTAGAAGCAGTACCTTTTTTAGGCAAATAATCTAAATATGACACCAAAGGCACAGATCAGGAATGAAAAAAATGGATTAATGCCTTTATAGGAACATTCAAAAATAAACATCTTATATTTAAAAATAAACATGTTAAAATACCATAAAAATAAAATGAACATTTTAAAACAATATAGAACATTTAAGTATATTAAATAAAGGCTGTCTTATTCTTAAAACATCCTAGAAATCACCATCAATGACCTACTCTCATATTTTTAAAAATGGACAAAGAATATGTTTAGGAAATTAAGGAGAAACAATACGAATGATCAATACATAATAAACATGCTAATTTTCACTAAGAAGTCAAAGAAGTGCATGCATATAAGACTACAATAACACTCATTTTACCTACCAAAATAACAAAAATTTTACAACTTATTACACAAATTTCAAAAATATATAAAAGTAAAACTCCATGTACCATTCCAAGCCTTGGGATTATCAGTAAACAAATCTTGTTTCATCTACTTCTCATTATCTTTTTTTTAAAAAAAAAATCTAAGCCCATAAAATGTAACCAAAATGTTTGTACCCTCATAATACCCTGAAATAAAAAAAAAAAAATCTAAGGAATTATGTCATTTCACTTGTAAATACTTGAGCATGTGTCCCTAACTTTCAAGAATGTATGTTTTTTTTTTAAGAAAACATAGCAAGGATTTCCTTATGCAGCTAGTGGAAACATTGCTAAGCTAAGGCCCCCAGGAATGTTCCAAAGTCTTGAGGGTAGAGAATTCCACAGTCTACTTTAACTAAGGTTGAGGGCTCCCAATTAGTGTCGGGGGCACATTCAAAGTTAAATTGGGGCCCTTTATCTGTTCCCTTTGCTCTGAAAGGTAGAATTCCATCAGAGAGTGGGCGCTCACACGTGCTTGTAAACTTACCCTGGTGTTCTCACTGTCATAGTCTTCTCCAAGACCAGACTTGGAGCTGATAATTCCATCAACACGTTCTTTCTAGATCAGCACCAGTGTGCCTCAAAAAGTCAAATATGTCCTTTACTGATACTAAAAATCTTTATTTTAAGAAACCATATTTGCCCAAATTACAGCAGGGGCTAAGGCCTTCTGAAACTGTATCCGCCCTACCCTCCGGATACCCAGCTCTTCTACTCAGAGGAAGCACACAGAGGCTCAGGGTAAGGTCTTTCTTCCTCAAAAGCCAATCTACATGGCTTAATAGACAGGATACGGACACTATGGAACCCTCTGCTCCCCATTTGCGTTTGGGGGAGGAAAAGTCAGGCCTTAACCCTGATTGGAGGTGCAGGAGGAAGGAGAAGCCTCTGCATGCCCCTTTCTTGTGTGCTGGCTGCTGCTTAGGCTTTGCAAATCAAACCTTGCCCCCGGACACAAATAGGAATGGCTTTGGGGTCATTCTCCCCATCAGCCACAGTATGGAACTCTTCCCTGGAGTTCTGTATGATTTCTAAAGTAATTTTGAAAAGTGAGAGACTCTGGGTTCACTTAAAGTCTTAGAGGAAGAGAAGAATGAGGGAAACTATAAAGC